TACCTGATTGGCTAATATATTTAGATAATGTTTTTATGATCTGATATATTTATTACTTCGTGAAATTAGTCCTCTTCATCGCTGAAATTGGACCTGTAAGAAAAATAAATATATACATATATATAGCAATATATGTCAATGTATACACTATTTCCATATTTTCTATAATTATAAAAAGTGTAACAGCCACAAAATGTAGATAAAATTCAACACACCAGCTTGGCCACCATGTAATTACAAATAAGACAATACATTTATAAAGAGAGTAAGTCATACCCAGGTAAGGCGAGGTCTAGTTAGTCGAGATTACGTTATTTACTCCCGGGGAACTTACACAAGTCATTAGTGAGTTTTGCGAACAGCCGCAGGAAAACAACATATCTTCTCTTCCATTTCGCAGATCAAACCTCTCTAACCTTGCAGAGTCTTTGGTCGCTGGCCTCTCTTAGGTGTTATCCAACCTGCCGTGTCCCTTGTGTTACCAATAGACGCCTGGAACATTAGGCCCCATGACTGCAATTGCTTGTGTGGTACGACATATATATATAATTAAAATTATTGTTCAATAATCATAATTTTTAATATATCAATTTATTTGTATGTCACAGTAACGAGGGTGGAAGGCGAATACCTCAACCTGACCCAAGTCAAGAGAGAAGACATGGGAGCTTACCTCTGTATCGCTGCCAACGGTATTCCTCCATCTGTCAGCAAGAGAATCCTACTCCAGGTCAACTGTAAGTACAGCAGCCATTGTCTGAGAATTGTTCAACTATTACCTTGTCGTGATAAACCTGAATTTCAAGTACACACACATATAAATTCTAGTAAAAATATCTCTAAATATCTTCAAAAGAGAGGCATCTATCACATTACAATAAACCAAATACAAGGACTTAAGTATCATCTTTCAGATATATATCAGGTTTCTGCCAATACAACAACAATAGCCTTTATTGGGCACACGTGCCATACAGGATTCTCCCTGTAGAACAAAATAAATAAATAAAATATTAGCATCGTAGTTATATACAAATATTGGGTATTGACCTCGACCAATTATCGAGTTGGATTAAAAGGTCCAAAAAGGCTTCTTACTTGTACAATGATTCTCTTTAAGGTAAGGGGGATATTGTCGTTCAGGTAGCATTCCATTGTAGGTGATGAATGAAAGTATTTATAGTGAGAGTAGAGTATTGATTTTTCTTATTCTTACATAATCCAGCTGCAAGGACTGATCGGTTGCCGTTCTAATAATTAGGGGGATGTATCTTTGTAGAATATTGAAGTCTGTACATCCAACAAGCCATGAGAAGCCGGTGCTATTAAGTAGCTCTGTTATACTTTTTACCAGTCCGATATTCTGTTTTGAAGAAATTGAAATGTCCCACAAATGTGCCAGACAAATTGAAGGTAGCCTGCTGCCGTCCATTTTCAAAATTCTAGTCCAGAATTTTAAAGTTAGTTTTTTCACTGTGATATCAAGAGAGTTTCTTCCTGTTTCGGCCCTCAAAATATAGCCGGAGTATAGCTTGGAAGGCACAGAAAACGTCTGAGAAAGGTATCCTGGATTCTATCTAAGAATAAGGCTTGATCATGTGCCCAGAATGGAGCCGCATAGAGTAGGACTGTCAAGATCATAGAATCCAACAATCTCATACTTGCATGGAAGGATTTGAGCTTGGACTTCAAAATAATCTCCCCCACAGCACCCATCGCCGCCATGGTCCTGCCTCTATAATTTAAGGCAACTTGGTTTCTGCCAATAACTATGAAAGATATTCAATACACAGTGACTTTTGATGTAGGACACACGAAATGATCACATGTAAACAAAATTACCTCTGTCTTTTTTCAAAAAATAAATGACCGGCGAGTTTTCCACTTCCTCTTCTATAAACATCGCAAACTAAACATATATAATATGAAGATTATCTTCTTTATTCCGATAAAAGAGCGAATTTCAATCCAGAAGGCTTTTCTTAACGGCCGCAATACGATCAAAAGGCCATCATATTATGATTGTGAAACCTTTTATATTGATAACTTGTCAAGTTTGATCGGACTAAAGAAACAATTTAATATGAGATTTGTTATTTTGTTTTATACACTATCAAAAATTTGATTTAAACTATATTAATGAATATTGATAAGCTCTGCAATATCACAAATTCGGGGGTCAGTACAATTACTATCAACTACCTTTGGCAATTTCGGAAATTCCATCTTAAAACCTTGGTTTTCTAATATGGCTTTCGTTATTACAGAATGACTTCGGGGCCATTGTGGTTTCTTCAGAATATGCCATAGAGGTGATTTCTGAACAAGTATCTGGTCCAATTCTAAGGCTGAAAATTGACTAACCTATAAAACATGTAAACTTCTTTATTTCATAATCATGTCAATAAACAAACATCTCTCTCTTTTATATATTTCTTTATACCTTATAAAAATTAAAACAAAATAAATTTTCAGCATAATAAAAATCGATGATTATTATTATATTTTTTGATTATCTAATAAAATTCAAAATAATTATGAAAAATTAAATGAAATATATAGATACTAAAATACTAGAACAAATATAAATATAATATATTAAGAGTACGTGTATATTTTCAGGACCGAAATATTTTATGCCATTTTAATAGTTCAGATATACGATATATTTGTAGTATATAGAGTCAGTTGGTGCAGTTCTCTTTCAACTAATTTAACAGATGAAGTGATAAAAACTTTAAGAATAAAACGACAATAGAGTATTGGGAATAAGTAAGAGACGAAACATAGTTCTAAATCTGAGTAATTACAGTTTTCAAATTCTCAACCCACTCTCTGAAAAAGGATAATACGATATTAACATAGCCTAAATATGTTTCGTCTACTAATTACGAGGTAAATTTGAACAAGGAAGATATTGATTCATGAAATGATATAAAAATACTTTGTTCCTGACCCGAGGTTTTCATTTTGAAAATATTAATCTGTTTTGCGTTTATATAGTCAATTAAGTTGTCTTTTTTAGAATACTATTATAATATAATACTATATTTCAAAAGCTAAAAACAAAACAAAAAAATCACTGAAGTCAAGTATCCATGTACGTATGCGACAGTTAAGCCTAAGATCCGGGTACCCAACCAGCTAGTCGGGATAGCGCTGGGGCGCCCGAGGTGTACCTGGAGTGCCGGCTGGAGGCCTCCCCGCGGCCCCCTGACGTCCTGGGTGCGGGGGGCCGACGGCCTCATCCTGCTGAGAAACACCTCCAAGTTCTCGGTGACAGAGCACCTCCACTCCAGCTACCGCACCAACATGACGCTGCGCATCGCGCACGTTGACGAGTCTGATTTCGGACCCTACAAGTGCGTGGCCAAGAACACTTTGGGAGAGAAGGAAGGATACGTCCGGCTGTACGGTGGGTGCTTATATATATAAAACCTAAAGTCTTGTGCCGACATTCTTATTTGTATATGGAGCATGTATGGCTTAATCAAAAGTACGAATTCGTGAAGCAAGAGTTTCTTGTGAGGTTATTTTTTTTATTTAGCCGAGAGCTTTAAACATTACTTCTTTAGAGGAGAAGAAACGATCAAAAGCTCGGATATATAAAACAAAAACTCACAAGAAACTGTTCGCTTCATGAATTTCTACCGATAATATACTGCTCCAAAATTGCATATGAACTTTGGACTTTATTCACAAAACTATTTTGATTGGCGAATTCGCAATAAAATGAAATTACTATTAATTTTAACGCTGAATTATTGATACCAAATTTAATAGCTATTTTGCGCTTAGTTCATGATGAAAATCATTATAGCTAACTCGGAATATAGTTTGATGATTAACCTGTTCAGTGTCTATCTAGCCATATCAGTGTTTCTATTTCATCAAATCAAACAAATAGATTCTTAAACTCTTTAGCCTTTCAAGTTACCATAGTAAACCTTTATTGATAGCTATATTGAACAAGCTATGATATAATTCTGTCGTGAGTTGTATATATTTCCTTTCTACAATAGAATTCAGTGATGAGACGTTTGTTACAGAAATTCCTCCAGCCACTAGTGCGCCTCGTCCTCCCATTCCGCCTGTTCAACACCAGTTCCCACATTCCTCTAAAGGTAACACTTTGAAACTTTTTATCATTTTCATATATTAACACTCTCGTTTATAAAGCAATATTCAGAATATCTAAATATATATCTGAACACAATCCATAGTGCCAGCTATCTGTGTGATTTGAAATATTATAATAATTGTAAACGCTTATAATTTTATAAAATTATCTTATTCACTTTATATTTTATATTTAAAAACAATAAAACAAAGCGCGAATAGTTATATCAACGTTGAATATTTAACATTTGACACTGATAGATAGTTCTATGTGCTGTTTACAAAATCTTTATTTTATAGGATTAGGAGGAAATTAAATTATAAAATCTGATAATTTCACACATATTTTATCCTAGTAAATATTGTTTGAGTATAAATGGGTCTTTAACTCATGAGAAGATAACTTATACGGCAATTTATAAACGGTTAGAGTGCCAAAATTGTTGAGCTAAATTATCGCAAGATGTCATTTGACATTATGAAATGGTATATTTACTCGCCTGCACGAGAATAAGAAAAATCAAGTTCCTATTGTTGCTTTGTTATAAATAGTTTATTGATCTTTTTATTGCATATTCATAGAATATTTTAACATGAATATTTATTATAAAGGACTGCGGCGTGTGATTATAAACAATACTTAAAATTATACCGCATAAGTTTCTTTTCTATGAAAAATCAATATTTATTTTAAAGAGAAATATTTACTATTTCTAACTTTTTTAAATGAAGTATGAGAGGGTGAAAATATGAAGAGTAATGGCGAACGGGAAAAATAAAAGTGTCCAGGGGCGGGAATCGAACCCACAACCTTCTGCTTACCGGGCAGGTGCCATGTCCACTAGGCTACCCTGGACGTTATTTCTCTGTTCGTAAATAATACTTAAGTAACTTACTAGTGGACATGGCACCTGTCCGGTAAGCAGAAGGTTGTGGGTTCGATTCCCGCCCCTGGGCATTTTTATTTTTCCCGTTCGCCATTACTCTTCATATTTTCACCCTCTCATACTTCATTCAAAAAAGTTAGAAATAGTAAATATTTATCTTTAAAATAAATATTGATTTTTCATAGAAAAGAAACTTATGCGGTATAATTTTAGGTAATGTTTATGAATATTTATATATTCGAATAAAAAAAAATCGCTTTTTGCCGAAGAGTTCACGCGCAGGCGTGCATCAGAATATCTTACAGCTAACATATAAAATAATATATAATATATATATAAGAAATTATATATATTCAGGCCGTTATAATCTTGTCTAAGAGAGCTTTGTGAATGTTTTAAGTGCTTCAGATCTCATAATTATCATAAAATAATACTAATCTTAATATTACTAATCTCAATAGTTCGAAATTATTAGTTTCATATAAACAAGCAAAAGAGAAGGCTCACTTTGGATTTTTCAAAGTTGTTGTTTGACAATTGATAACAAAATGTTATTTTTTTCATTGAGTTTCATTTCCCTTTTTACCCATGTTTCTAAAGCTTTAAATGCCCATTATACCCTCAAAGTTCGATATCATATTTCTTACACACCCCCATATGTTAAAAATAATTTAAACGGAGAAAAAAGGGTAGGTGTTGATGTTGAAAATAAAAATAGACATATTCTGACCGCTCAAATGAGATTTTTAGAAAATGGGTTGGCCAAATATCAAGGAACAAGCTAAATCAATGTTTAGTTGATTTCTGTTCCACTAGATGGCGTCTGCCATCTAAAGGTTCAGGTGAATGTGGTCAGGATATGCCTATTTTTGTTTTAATACCCCCATATATGTTAGTGGGTAAAAATATTAATTTAATGAAGTTCCTTTAAAATGCAAAATGCAGGTTTTGCTCTTGATAAATTCCTTGCATGCATAACAAATCAACTCGGCTGGATGATTCCAGATTTTATGCATTACATGCATATAGTGTAAATGTATCACTATATATAAGTTAAAGTTTTACACAAATAAATTTACTGGCAATGCGTTTCTTTTAAATATCATCAAATATTATCTCTACAAACCTTAATGCAATGATATGAAAGATTGATGTAGAGTAAGGTCTGTAGAGATAATATTTGATGATATTTAGAAGAAACGCATTGCCAGTAAATTTATTGTGTAAAATTTTAACAATAGATGGCAATAAAATTTAATTTACTAATATGTATCACTATATATATTCATAAAACACGATCAAATTCCTGTACGGCTAAAATCTACGATTAATATATGACCCTAGATGGAATATCACGGTTTTTTTGTGTGTTGAAATATGGATAAATAAACTAAATTTATAAATCGCAAATATCAATTTGTTTGACACAAAATTAAACATCTTGCGACATAATTGGAATTTCTGTAATTTCACGATTTTTGCTACATAGTGTATCTGTTGTATAAATTGTGACTTCTTTTATAATTTTATACCAATTCAATATACCGTATAGAGATTATTTTATAATATTAAATATTATTTTCATCCTAATAATATTCAAATCATATAATAATTTATTGTGTATACTGTTATTAAAATTACCAATAGGTTTATTATAAAAGGACTATATACGGTAAAATCAATTACTATTGACATTTAAAACAAAATCATATATTGACAGATATTTTTATAAATTACCTGAAATAATAATTATAGAATAAATATATAGAAATAGATTGTGTGTGTGTTACGCATTTTATCAAGTAACAATACAACAATAACAAAAATATTTATCAAGACCATTTGGTTTTATACAGATTCTCAGAATTAAAGGGGGTAAATACAGAAATATGACAGTTATAGTGATAATAATTATCAATATGATATTTACAAAGTATTAAATAATGGGGGAAAAGCTTGGCATAAACCTATTAAACCATTTCTGAGAATCCATCCTTCAGTGCTCCATATATAAGCAGAATCGTCCAATACAGTATTAGAGCTCTGAGAAGCGGACTGGTGGATTAAATTGGCGAAACCGCTGGGAGGGTTCACCATTGATGAGCCAAGCCCTCCCAATATATATATTTTTCTCATTGCAGTATGGGGGCAGTAAAAGTTTGTATTATGTATAAAAGAAACATTCGTGCTTTTAAATACTTTCATTTTATATGAAAGCTATTATGAATATCAAGAATTTTAATATTATTCTAATATGTTAAGGTGAAGATAACAGGCCTGCAAGGAAAGATTTCTTGTGGTTCGAATCACGATCACTCAAGCTTTGAGGCACGATATCCCTTCTAGAGGAGAAAAACACGATACAAAGTAGAAAGGTCTTCGTGCCGAAATCTAGAGAGATTCTGATTAAAAAACATTTTTCAAAGAAACATATCCTTGGAAGCCTGTTATATTCACCTAATTAATTGATACAAGGGATTATATTTCGATCTCTAATTTATATCACGATAAAAACATAAAGTATTTACATAAAGATAAAGAATAGAGTAACCAAGTATTATAATACCAAGTATTATAATAATATCGGTAGAAATACCAAGTATTATAATAATAGCGGTAGCAATACCAAGTATTATATTAATAGTGGTAGTAATACCAAATATTATAATAATAGCGGTAGTAATACCAAGTATTATAAATGATAGTGGTAGTAATACCAATTATTATAATAATAGCGGTAGTAATACCAAGTATTATAATAATAGTGGTACTAATACCAAGTATTATAATAATAGCGTAGAAATACCAAGTATTATAATAATAGTGGTAGTAATACCAAGTATTATAATACTAGCGGTAGAAATACCAAGTATTATAATAATAGCGGTAGTAATACCAAGTATTATAATGATAGTGGTAGTAATACCAAATATTATAATAATAGCGGTAGTAATAACAAGTATTATAATAATAGCGGTAGTAATACCAAGTATTACATAGTATACTAAGTAGTATAGTAATAATGGTAGAAATACCAAGTATTATAATAATATTGGTAGCAATACCAAGTATTATAATAATAGTGGTAGTAATACCAAGTATTATAATAATAGTGGTAGTAATACCAATTATTATAATAATAGCGGTAGTAATACCAAGTATTATAATAATAGTGGTAGAAATACCAAGTTTTATAATAATAGCGGTAGTAATACTAAGTATTATAATAATAGCGGTAGTAATACCAAGTATTATAATAATAGTGATAGTAATACTAAGTATTATAATGATAGTGGTAGTAATACCAATTATTATAATAATAGCGGTAGTAATACCAAGTATTATAATAATAGTGGTAGTAATACCAAGTATTATAATAATAGCGGTAGCAATACCAAGTATTGTAATAATAGCGGTAGCAATACCAAGTATTATAATAATAGTGATAGTAATACTAAGTATTATAATGATAGTGGTAGTAATACCAAGTATTATAATAATAGTGGTAGAAATACCAAGTATTATAACAATAGTGGTAGTAATACCAAGTATTATAATAATAGCGGTAGTAATACCAAGTATTACATAGTATACTAAGTAGTATAGTAATAATGGTAGAAATACCAAGTATTATAATAATATTGGTAGCAATACCAAGTATTATAATAATAGTGGTAGTAATACCAAGTATTATAATAATAGTGGTAGTAATACCAATTATTATAATAATAGCGGTAGTAATACCAAGTATTATAATAATAGTGGTAGAAATACCAAGTTTTATAATAATAGCGGTAGTAATACTAAGTATTATAATAATAGCGGTAGTAATACCAAGTATTATAATAATAGTGATAGTAATACTAAGTATTATAATGATAGTGGTAGTAATACCAATTATTATAATAATAGCGGTAGTAATACCAAGTATTATAATAATAGTGGTAGTAATACCAAGTATTATAATAATAGCGGTAGCAATACCAAGTATTATAATAATAGCGGTAGCAATACCAAGTATTATAATAATAGTGATAGTAATACTAAGTATTATAATGATAGTGGTAGTAATACCAAGTATTATAATAATAGTGGTAGAAATACCAAGTATTATAACAATAGTGGTAGTAATACCAAGTATTATAATAATAGCGGTAGTAATACCAAGTATTATAATAATAGTGGTAGAAATACCAAGTATTATAACAATAGTGGTAGTAATACCAAGTATTATAATAATAGTGGTAGTAATACCAAGTATTATAATAATAGCGGTAGTAATACCAAGTATTATAATAATAGCGGTAGTAATACCAAGTATTATAACAATAGTGGTAGTAATACCAAGTATTATAACAATAGTGGTAGCAATACCAAGTTTTATAATAATAGCGGTAGTAATACCAAGTATTATAATAATAGTGGTAGAAATACCAAGTATTATAATAATAGTGGTAGTAATACCAAGTATTATAATAATAGTGGTAGTAATACCATGTATTACAATAATAGTGGTAGTAATATTAAGTATTATAATAATAGTGGTAGTAATACCAAGTATTATAATAATAGTGGTAGTAATACCATGTATTACAATAATAGTGGTAGTAATATTAAGTATTATAATAATAGTGGTAGTAATACCAAGTATTATAATAATAGTGGTAGTAATACCAAGTATTATAATAATAGTGGTAGTAATACTAAGTATTATAACGATAGTGGTAGTAATACTAAGTATTATAATAATAGTGGTGTATATATCGAGTGGAAAGTATCAAGGTAAATGTAGGGTAGAGTCAGTATCGGTGAACTCCCAACATTTTATGTCCCTTCAAATGCCTCCCAATTGGACTAGGCTTTAAAAGCCACTTTCCAATAAATTACCTTTTATTTGACATTTCCGTAGAAAGTCCTATTATGCCATTAGGAGAGAACATCGAAATTCAATGAAAATACAAATTAAGAAAAAGAAAATTAGACGATTATAGATAATAAAGTATATAATAGAATTTTATCCAATTCCTTATAAAATTTCTATAAATATAATAATATTATTTTGAATTATATT